AATCTTGCTGAACAGCTCCATAACCTTTTCGGTGACACCGAGTACAGGAAACGAGACAGGAACACCGGCAGCAAAAATCAAATGTTCCACTGTTGGGGGCAACGAAGGCAAGTACTCCTCAAATAGCATATCCCAAGTTTTAGGATCGCAAACGCGAGTTTTTTTACGTTCAAAGCGACCGTCACTGCCAAAGATGGCTGTCCGTGGACCCATAAGCCGAAGGAAATTGTAGCCAGTAGATCCTCCCCATAGCCCTTCATCTCGAGCTCGCAGCGTGGTGGTATGGTGTTGGAACAGAAGGTAGAACCGGAGAGCAATCTTCCCAATAGCTTGAAAGACAGGACACTGTTGTAATGGATCAGGGTAAGCTACAAAACAATAAGTGGAACGGGTCAAAAAAACTGAGAGCACAATTGCAGCAATCGCAAGACTGGTCTTACATCCAAATCCGCTACAATCAGACAAGAACAAGATTCAATCAGATGTCAACAGTTTGCATCGTCATGCCAAAGAAACAAAAAGCTCTTGCTTACTCAAAAATATCATGATCATCCACAATGTTAATGCTGGGGATCGCGGCCATGGCATCCCCCACCACCGGCTGCGAGAAGTGAGCGAGATAGTGCATCAAGTAATATCTAAACGTCTGTTTAGATCACAAAGCCAAAGACGAATGATTAATCGCGATTAGTACCGTTCAACTTCAATTTGCATCTCCACGGTGAACTGGTAGGATTCACGTTCAACGCTATTAGTAATATCCAGCCATTGGCGAAGACTTTGGCAATGGAAAAAGAAATCGTCTTGATATATCTGGTTTGAATGAGATGAACATATCAATCAGAGATGTGTGAAGGTGTCTACGATGCGTCTCTTGATATCGCAATTACCTGATCCCCACATCCAACCATTAAATGTAGCGGTCGTTTCTTATGAACCGCCAACTTATCCCGCCAAAGGGGTCGCACGCCATCGAACTTTTCCTCCGGATTCTTCGTGTCCGTTCCAAATCCGTTGCAAGAGTAGAATGCCCAATGCCAAGGTTCGTCTCTGGCAGCTACATAAAACTCGTAGGCTGTGCCGCCAGATATTGTTGAATCTACTCCTTCCGTTGTACCGTTTCCCTGTGAGCTCGACGCCTCTTGCGGGTCAACCGTGTAGGTAACTTTTTGACTTCGGCCAGAGCTAACACGTGGCTCCCCAGTTTCTATACCTTGCTGCTTCAAGTGCCGTGCTTGTGGATCACCTACTTCTGTGGCATCAAGAAGGGGCTCTGAAGGTGCGTTTTCAAGCGATATTTGCAAATCGTAGCGGACAGCAGAGTAACCTGTTCCGCTAATGTCTTCATCGAGGATGACGGGATCTACCCATCGTCCGCCGTCTAGTTTGGAATGAACATGAATGCGAGGAGGAGTACGGGACATGTGATGCACGTATAGAATATTTCCAAGCCACACGTTCTTGTCCAAATCAACGTTGTGAAAGTTCAGGAATGGTCCATATAAGGGCTTGAGGGGTGCAGGCGGTGGAACTTTCTTCTTGTGATCCGTTCCCTCAGATACGTCTTTATCTTTGTTGCTTGCATTTTTCTGGCCGCTGTTTTGTTCGGGGTGAGCGAGCTGGTCGAGCTCGACGGTTTGTCCATCTTCCAAATGAAAGGCGATCTCGACATTGTCAGTTCCACCCACTTCCTTTTTGGCATCTTGTAGCGCTGCGAGCATATCATGACATGCTTGAACACCCAGGTCTCCCCCTCGGTTCAGTCGTGCTCGACGGTGTGTGATATTCCTTTCACGAAAGAAACCTACACACGGGTTGCATGACACTGCCTTGTGGCTTTGGACCGCGATCTCTGAAGCTGGGGCGTGAGTATGAACCCCACTATGTGGCCTATGTGTGTCGTCCCTGGATACTGCCGGGTGCGTTGCGTTGGACATGGCGGATGGACAGGACACAAAATGGATGGCAGGCTGAACGGACTTTGAACTTTCGCGCCTTGAACTGGGCGGGACTCAGGTTGCGTCATCAGCTGTCACATGTTTAACAGCGCTCACCCTGCAGGGCTTTTGGACGACTTATTTGCCAACGTGCATGGCAAAGACTTCTGCTACAAATTGCTTGGCAGAAAATACGGGATCTACCAAAGCTGTCACTCCATCAGCGGCGGTGTGCATCTTTACTGTTGAGATGGATCATGAAGGCATCGCATTGTTCTGTTGGTGATCACTCATTTACCAGATCTGGAGCGACTGTGCTGCAGACAGAGTGTGAGTAGCGATTATCCATCATCCTTCAACTTGCACATTGCCTGGATTTGGTATGATTGCTTTACTAGTAGAAAAGTATTAGTATCGATAGCGGTCGAGTGGAATGTTGAACACATTATTATGCATTACCTAAATTTGGTATCGGTGTCGAAGATGCCAAAAGGTTGCGTCCAAATTGCGATATGGTCAGCTCAGGTATCGGGCAGCATCAAGCCAGTTTTGGCTCTTGGCTGACCATGTTTCAAGACCATATGCTATCCCAAATCCTACAAATCTGTTCAAACGATGGCTTCGCTATAGAGGCTTTCCATCACATCAAAATGTTGTGCTTGCTGTAGGTATGCTTCGGATTTCCCGTTCATAATCCATGTCGCTTCTATAACGGTTCCTTTCTGGTGCTACTCCGTCTCTGTCGTGAGGTCTGGAATGAATCTAAATGCTTTGCACAGTCTCGGCAACCATTCATGGTTTCTGCTTTAGCCTTTATCTCTATCCGCTGCATAAAACTATAACAAATCAATGAAATCTTGATGGTTTCGGGACGCCTTTTTGGTCAGTTGTATGCAGGATGTGGATCCGCACTGATCAAAATCGCTGAAGCGCCGTGGAGCGCCATGATCCAGGATGCATCTCTTATTCCTGTGCCTGGGAGACCACTTCATTTGCAACTATGCAACGATAGCAAACTTGGAGTTACAGTATGGCTACGAGAGACCTAGAAAGTCCTCCTGGTTGCCGCAGAGCTATAAAGTCGCTCACTGTATGCGTCTGGTAGCCTATAAGCATCAGGCTTTTCGAAACTGGTTCTGAATGCGGGCATGACTGAAAAGCACCTTGCAGCACCAGTAAAACCATTCAAGGTGGATGAGATTGCACTTGGGTCTAAACCGCGATAGTGTCCGGGTATGACCACGGAATCATTCCCGTTCACGAGATAGGAGCGATCCAACGAAAATCCAGTATTCAGATGCCATAGCCTCTCACATTTCTCATCCAAAAGCTCACTTTTCCCACCTAATTGTAACATTGCAAGGTAATGCAAGCTCGTACACAGCACAACTGTCGCCGGTAACTTTCGTCAACTCAACATACGTAAGCTTCCCGCAAATCACACTAAAGGGGACAGAAAATAGTTACAATTCTGTAATTTATTATTATAAACCAATATTTCGTGCAGTCAAGTAAAAGCGCATTAAACCACCGAGGGATCAGCCTGTTCTGTATACACAAACCACGTGTGGACTTCTAACGGACATGGCTAATTTACAAACTATTCGAAACTGTGCAAAGTATCTAAACAGCGAGGGCAAACAGGGCGGCCACGCCCACCAGTAATCCAGCTGCCACTTTGTTAACCATCACCTGTTCGCCAGCACTTTTGGCACTCGCAGCTATGGGTGAACCGGAGGTAGGGGAAGGCGAGGCTGGGCTGCTTGCGGTCGAGGTCGAAACCGAGGTAGGAGTCGCCGAGGGTGCTGTCGATGTAGATGAAGTGGGAGTAGTTCCATTACCGCGATAAAAGGGCTGGTTCAGGCAAGTCCCAACGGGCATCATTTTGAGTGGAAAGTTGGCACCGGCAGCTTTCACCTCGTTAAGAACGTTTATCGCGATGCCGCTTGTGAATGGACTAATGTCGTGTTCAAGACTAATAAAACTCTTTTGAGCGGTGAACCACGTCTTGACGGTGTCTACAATCTTTTGCGAAGTGGCGGGAGATGCATCTGTTTGATCAGCATCAGTCGAGTCTCGGACCGGAGTGGTCGTCCAGAGAGTGGTAGAGTAGCCCAATGCCGTGGCAATGGCACGGATCCGGTCATCAACGTCACCACAGGGCGGACGCCAAAAGATCGGAAGACTACCGGTAGCGTTGTAGATCATGGCCTCAGTGTACTTTATTTCCGCAACAAATTGAGCGTTGGTGAGGGAAGTGGCGGGATAATGCGTCCAGGTGTGGACTCCAATCTGATGACCTTCAGCAAACGATTTTTTAATCTCTTCTGGATTCTGTAATCCATTGGCGCCAACGATAAAGAAAGTAGCTTTGAGCTTCATGGCATCTAGTGCTGCCCTGAGCGAGGGAGTATCATTCTGGTTTTGTCCATTTACCACGTTGACGGTTGGACCATCATCGTATGTCAGGCCCCACACGTTATCCCCGGGGCAGCTAACGACATCAGCCTTAAAACCCGCCGTGTCATTTGTTCTCACGCAAAGATTGTTTGGCCAGTAGCAGTTTGTAGCGGCTGTGTCGGCAGGGTATGTTGCAACGCATGGAGACTTGTATTGTGACGGAGGAATGTTCAAGTACTGAGGGGGAACAGTTGCCTGCACGTAGGCGAGGGCGGTTGTAACGAGAGGATCCTTTAGGAAATTTTCGGGAATGGGACTTGCTTCATCTGTTGGCGGCCAGGCTGCCGGCATGGGAGGTGGTAAGGGGAGATCGGCGGCAATCGCCGTTGCTGCAAGCAGGATGAGAGAAGCAACTTGAGGAAGCATGGTTAGATCAATGAACGTTCAACCTGCAGCTTGCCGCGTCGGGGAGGGAACAAGTGGGGGAGGAGATAAAGGACGGGGGAGTGGGGCAAGTCGGCTGGTTCTCTTTTAAAAGAAAAAAAGCCTTGGGTCAAAACCAGCAGCGGGCTGAACATTTCTGGTGGGCTCAGGAACGCGGAGTGTTCCTTTTTGGAAAGATCTTTTGGATATTTAGAATATTTTATTCGTGGTTTGCCAATATTAGGTAATTAAAGAACATGTGGCGGTACAAATTTCCGCGAGGCTAAGCACTTTGTCTCCCATCTCACAGCGCCTCCGTGACTCTGCCACTGCGGTTGTGGGGCGAAGGAAGAAAGGCACGGGAGCACAGCCACAAAGGAAACAGGACGGAGAGAGGAGGTGTTCTATAAAGGATTGGGCGTTGTTTGTCCATGGCTGATTTCCATGGCTGCTGCACAGTTTCCCTTCTTCCGCCCCTCTCAAGGCCATGCTGCAAATTGATGGGGCGATTCCCCTTACAAAAGAACATTCAACGGATCTCTGCGCGAGGGTACCCGAACGCATTCCAGGCGTTGGAGTAGAGAGCATTGTTTTGCGGGGTGAAAAGGCCATCGTACTCGAGACCATACGCGCTTTAGATGAGCGTTTCAATCGTGAAACGTTGAGGGAGTAGCGCAATGTTTGTCCACAATGGTTACGGAGGATGATGGTTGCTGTGATCGACGCATGCCGTACACTGTGACAAGGGCCACACATTCCATTTATTTTTCCTCCACATTACAATCGTCCTTAGTTGCACGGTTGCGCCGTTCCTACCAACCGGGTTTTTGATTACCTCAAGCATGGCAAGGGAAACACCGCGTTGTTCATAGTAGCTGTCAAGATGGTAGGGTGATGGATTTGTTCATACAGCGTAGCATGTCTTATCTGAAGAACAACGGTGGGATCTACCACTTCTACCGTGTTAATCTTTTATGCCACACTGCAACTGAGATTTGAACCATCAATTAACGTGACTGAACACATGTAGACAGTGACCGCGCCCATTTAATTGAATTCATGCATTGGAACCTACATATTGGGTTACTCCAGCGTGTAGGAGTGGTAGCGCGTCGCAGTCAGTCAGTGCGTAAGTCCAAGGCATAAGAAGGCCGCATAGACACGTTTACACAGTCTTCCGCACATTACAGAGTTGGCGTTGCCTCTGCCCATGGCATCCTTTTGCGCTACCTCCGCGGATGCTCAGCTTTATAGTGCAAAATGATCATGAGGTATGGCAAGGCATATGAGCCAATGACCAGTGTAAAAACCCAAAGTTGCCGATCACACATTACAAGTTTGCAACCATCCCTGGGCATCGCCGAGTTGTGTGGCCACAGGTGATTTTATTCAATAGGCAGTCCATTAACCCAAAAATGTAAGGCGGAAATGAAACGCGGGATAATTGCTTCCGGAATTTTGCCGGCACATGGTTTGCCACACGTCATTTAAGCTTTGGCTTTTGGTACTGGTAAATTATTTGAGACCAGTTTCCGGTTTGCTTGGAACAAGATGGGGTTGACATGCGAATTGGGAATATTAGTTCCGGTTAACAATAGCACAGGGTGTGGTTGGTTATCACATTTTAAAGCTTTGTAGCGTCAGAATGAAATGATTTGACTCATTGAATATGATCTGAATATGGGTATCAATGAAATGAAAGAAGCCAGATTAACAATATGCTGCATGAGATTGTTGCTGGCCATCGCATGCTGTGTACTGTTCCCCGGGGGACAATACAATACTCCACTGTTGTATAATGCATCTTTGATCAAGAAACTCGAGAAAGAGAACTGCATGCAGAAATTGAACATGGCAAGGGGCATTGAGGAAAAACAGATCTTGGAGTACCGATCCTACTTCTATCGTGGAGCCAAAAGCTATGGAGCTAGTGTCAAAAAGAGCAAGCGGCGGTGAAAAAGATCCGAGGGAACACAGCCCGGGCAGACCCGCATGAGTGTTGCAGTATCACATGTGCGAGTGATATCCAGACGATACACACAAACTACCCACTAGTGTTTTTCACATGTGCTTTACAGACAACATCTCATTTCCAGAATGACCCTGTAACTCAGCCAACGACTCAATGGAAAAAAGGAGGGTCAGGAGCGTGTGCACTGAAAAACCCAGGGTTGTATTCACCCAAACAGCCTAAAAATAGTATAGTTGCGAAAAAATCATTAACCTAAACCTGTGTTCCGATTGATAAAATTCCCCCACGTAAGCGTATGGAATTTCTGTGTCCGGGGCTATCGTAATTCATGGCAAGATTGTGGAAGAGTTTTTGTTTGTTTGGTGAAGTTACTGATTTGTATGATTGCCACAATGCATCAAAGCCCGTTCAACAAGCACAACGTACCCGTATGGTCGCTCGGGCATTTATATGGGTGCTTAAAAGGGCAGATAGGCACGAAATATAATCGCCATTTCTCTCGGCTTCACCCATAGAGTCCCCAAACACAAAATCCTCCGATATGACTGTTTCAAGTAAAGTATCGTCACCCTTAGAGACGTCAGTGGCCCATCTTCAACGTCAAGCCAAACATCGCCCAGATGAGCCTCTCTTTGTATTCCATGATGACAATTGTAATGTCATTGAGAAGCTCACCAGCAAGGAGGTCTACCGATGCGCACTCTCCATTGCTGCTGACCTGCGAAATGTTCTCGCACCCGGTGATCGCGCCGTCCTTTTATATCCACCTGGCACATCCTTCATCACTGCGTTTTTCGGATGCTTAATTGCCGGTATCGTTGCGATTCCAATGCCTCCAATTAACTTTACCGATACCCGTGACGAACAGCAATGGGATCATTTAGCAAAAGTAAGCAAAGCTTAGGAGTATTTTCTTCATGCATTGGAGCTCACGCTTTCTTCTTTTGATCCGTACAGGTGATTGAGACATCTGGAAGCAAAGTTATACTAACGGATACCATGTACTACAGGCTATCGACAGCCTACCAGATGAAAATTATGGTCAGCACACTTTCATTTCGGTCGAAATGGCCAAAGATCCCGTGGTAGGTGGTTTGGGATAATTATATGACTATGCCATCCGCGCGTTCTATACAAATCACGTGACAACTGATCCTTCCGTTGTCCAAAGGCGAACCACCGACACTGTCGCCGTCCAAGACAATATCAGTGAAGCAATCATTGTGCCTTCGACTCTGGACGACACTGCCTTTCTCCAGTTTACCTCTGGATCCACTTCCGCACCTAAAGGTACGCGGCGGCTATATATATATATATATGACTAGCCTAACTAATTTTGATCATGTTCCTTACAGGTGTCATTATGACCTACAGAAATGTCGGACATCAACTGGACGTCTCTCGGGACACTTTGCTAACCCTTCCAGGCGGGAGCTATGTCTCATGGATCCCCCATTGGCATGACTTTGGTCTAATCGGAGCCATCCTGTGCACCGTGCACAACGACTCTACATATTACTTTACGTCACCATTGACGTTTATGCGAAAACCAAGTTCTTGGATTGAACTCATGTCGAGATACCGGGCGACACACACCGCGGCCCCGACCTTTGCGTTTGATCTGGTGGTCAGGAAAACGCAGCCCGAAGAACGACTGGCGTGGGATCTGTCTGCGTTGAAGGTTATCAATATTTCGGCAGAACCAATTTCTTTTGACGTACTGCGAGGCTTTGCAGATGCTTTTGAAGCATCCGGGTTGAGACCTGGCTGTTTGGCTCCATGCTACGGATTGGCCGAGCACACAACGGGTATTACAGTATATGGTTCGTCTGTGTTGTGTGTGGACAAGCAGACACTAGAAGAAAGCAGTCAAGTAGAGGTGCGGCACTATAGCAAGGATGGATTGCACAAATGCCGGACCATACCTCTCGCTGGAGATAAGCAGGTGAAAGTCTTTGTTTCATCTGGTAAGCCGTACCGCGGTGTGACTGTTGCCATTGTTGACCCGGTAGGTTGCTGATTGGCTTTGTGAGAGTATGGGAAAGTCGCTGTACTGTTTTCATGCACCGGACTGATGGTCAACTTTTGGTTTGCTAAAGATCTCGCGCTATCGCTGCCCACCACTGACCGTTGGGGAAATCTGGGTGGATAGTTGGTCAAAGGCGCCCGGTTATGACGGTCTGGCGGACGTCTCAACAGAAACCATGGAGGCACGAATTGCTGATGACCCAGCAGATGCCACGCCATACCTTCGCACGGGTGACCTCGGTTTCTTTTATGACGGAGAATTGTACATATGCGGTAGAATTAAAGATATGATAGTTATTAATGGTGGGTTACCTGACTCGCACATACATATGGTCCGCGCCATTTTGTCTCTCAAGTATGTATTTCACTTACAAACTGATCATTGCCGTGGTAAATATAGGTCACAACATTTATCCACAGGATATCGAGGACAAGTTGCGGAACAACGTCCATTCTGCTATCCGGCCCGGAGGTAGTAAGGAAAATCTATTCTTGTTTTTATGAACAGGACTGAAAACTGAGCCCATTTTGCATAGGCCTCGCTTCTTTTGCTGTGGAAGGTTCCAAGTTTGGAGAAGAAGGTCTCGTTGTATTTGTCGAAATCAAAAAGGAAGCAAATGACGGCGGCAAGAAAGGATCGGGTGCCGCGTCTTCTGATGCTTTGGGTCGAGACGTTGCCAAAGCAGTCCAGCGCGCTGTTGCGCGCGAGTTTGGCGTGCGTTGCTATGCGGTGGTCGTTGGCCTTCCCGGTCTTGTGCTCAAGACCACAAGTGGAAAGGTTCGACGCCAAGCTTGTAAAAAAGAATTTGGCACTGGCGCAATTCACAAACTGAAAGCCACAATTTTGGTTGAGCGGTTTGGAAAATCTGACGAAAACAGCGAGAGACCACTTGTCTCTGAAGTCAGCGACTCATTAAACATTCCTGACCTTGTTCAAAGCCTCGACGCCCCGTTTCAATCCATTATAGGAGAATTGTCGACAATGTTTGGAGGCATGACGAAGCAATCGCATGACCGAGTCTTCCACCGTCGTGCAACAACATTATTGGGAACATGTCAAGTATTGGCCGATACCGATATTCCGGCCAACGACTTTCTTAAACCTGGGGCAGAGTATTCAGTATTGGTCCGTCATGCAAATGGGGTAGCTGATGATGACGCTGCAACCGATAATCGCGGAGCAACTGTTCGGCTCTTTGACGCAAAGCACAATGATATGAATCTGCCCAGCTTGGACTTACTGCTGACAACTGGAGAGTGCTTTGTTAACGGAACTGCGGAGGATTTCCGTAACTGGATGCTAGCCTCCCTACCTGAAAAGGAACGCATTGCATCCGATAACCCGCTTGTCAGTGATGCGGCCTGGGCTGCATTCAGAGAAGGAATTGGATCGTATACTGATTATCATTACTACTCGAAGACATCAAGCATACTGACTGATGTCGATGGGGAAAAGCATATTGTTCAGTTCCGACTGGTAGGGGATGAGAAGAATGTCAATGGTAAGGTTATTTGTTCGAGTCTCGTACTCAGAACCATAGTACTCAGTTCGTGTTAACTCGTTTGCCACTTAGCTGATCCCGGGAGGCTTAACCCAACAAGCATCCTTCCGCCAAATCGTCCGGCTATCCGTCAGCCAAACGACACCCGTCCCGCTGACTATCTTCACGCCGAACTGCGAACTCGTCTCACATGGGGACCTATAACGTACTCTCTTCAAATTCGTGTCCATCCCTACTCGCGTGCCGCACCTTTAAACGCTCGGGCATTGGATGCAACAATTCCATGGCCCAAACATCTTCAATGGCAGACAGTTGGCCGATTTACCTTGGACAGAATAGTCGATGACGAGCAGGCAGTGACGAAGCTCGCATTTAATGTATTTCATGCCCCTGCAGTCATTCGTCCCCCATTGACACGCTCGTCTCGGGATCCTGCGTCCTTAGCCTTGACCAGAGCGATCGTATATGATGTGGCGGCTCGAACAAGAAGAGGAGAAAAGATTCCAGAATCTATTGCTAAGCTGGCTGCTTCTCGTCCGGTTCATCAATCCCCGTCCAGGGCCGAGAAAAGTCAAGGAAAATTGGAAGCGGTAGAGAAATTAACCACATTTGAGGTATCTGTGAGCAAGTCTCCCTACAGCTCATCAATCTCTGCACCTTTGCCATCGTTCCAGCGAACTACACCGCTTCGGGTCGCTGTTATCGGTGCTGGACCCTCCGGACTCGCCGCAGCGTACGCTTTGCACAAATTGGGCTACGCTGTAACAGTATACGAAGCATCCGATCGCATTGGCGGCAAGGCTGGTACCGTGAACGTGAAGGGGCTAGATTTTGATCTTGGAGGACACGTATGCACTCAGAGGTACACCAAGACTTGGTCCTTGGTGCAAGAGCTTGGCCTCCCAACAGAAGAAGTTACCCCAGGCAAGATCCTGAATCCAAGCAACCAGACCTGGCGCACGATTTACGAAGTAACTGAGAAGGAACGTACCCCAGCGTGGCTTCTGGAGGCTGCATCGTACATGAAGATTCAACGGCAATACTTCCCGGAACCTTTTCCGACTAGATTGTCGGCAAATGCAAAGTTGACAAACCTCACCGCGCCTGCAGCCAATTTCCTGAATAGCAACGGTCTTCCAAATTATCGCAAGGACATTGAGATCTTTTACTCCGGATGCGGCTACGGCATGCTCGATGAGCCTGACCATCCAGCCGCACATCTGATCAAATACTCTGAACTTCTCGGACTGTATGATACTGTCGACACTCCCAGGCAATGGACGGTGAAGGGAGGTATGGGGAAACTATTCGAAGCTATAGCTAGCAAGTTGCCAGATATACGGCTAGCTTCCAGAGTAAATTGGGTGCAGAGAAAGGACGGTCAGATCTCGGTGCAAGCTGAAGGTCAGGAGCCCGCTACTTTTGATCGGGTCATGGTCGGTGTCTCTCCAAAAGTCTTTGAGTCGATCTGTGCAGACGTTACAGTGCAGGAACGTGAGCTATTCGAAAATGTGCGATATCGCAATTACTGGACAATTATCTTTACTGCCGATGGTTTACCAAAGAAGGGATTCTTCCTGTTGGAAAATAACCAAGTGCAACAAAAGGGTTTGTGTTTCCTTTTGGCATTTTTTATTAGCATACATTTCCAGTACACTAATACCTTACTATCAGAGGGTCATGTCGTCGCATTGCACCACCGTTACGATGACTCGAACATTTATTGTGCATACTCATACGGCGCAGAGTCTCATTCCGCAAAGGATATAGTTGCGTTCCTTCATGAGGATGTTGCCGAAATGGGCGGAAAAATGATTGAGGTTCACGGAACGTATCAATGGGGTGACTACATGCCTCATTATGGGCCAAAAGAACTTCCTACGATGCAAAAGAAGTTGGAAGCATATCAGGGAACCAAAGGAACCTTTTTCCTCGGCGGGTTGTTGTCCTTTGAGTTAATCGAATGCAACGTTTCTTACGCGACTGGCTTGGTGGAACGCTTTTTTACTGGGTCCTTTGCAACAGCCCCCAAGGACGTACAGATAACAAGCACGTCCAGTGGTACACCCTTGCAGAGCTTCCACTTAGAAAACAATGAAGAACGGAAGCGCCGATCAATGGTGGATTACATTCGATTGGTCCTGAAAGAAGAGTTGGGAGATGAAGCCGTTGCTGAGATCGGGGATGAGGATGAGTTCTCGACTTTGGGTCTAAACAGTATCGCTGCTACTCGTATGACCGATCGTATCTGCAAAGACACGCAGGTCACGATTGCCCCTGTGACGCTATTTGCCTTCCCGACCATCGTGGCGCTTGCGGACCATCTTGTTGAGCTACATGCTGATCAGAGCATCGCGAACGAGGTGCCCGTCCCACTATCTCACCCGGTGCCGCACAGTTTCCGTCAGATGCCAAGTTTAATGGTTGCTACGGCACAAATACCCGAGATTTCTGTGCCTGTAGACGTGAAAGACAGACCCTTGGACATATTGAAGAAGGTGTCGAGCGACCAGGAGCGTCGTCAGGCGCTCTGTACGTATTTGCAGACCATATTACGCGAAGAGCTCGGGAGCGATGCGCTGAATGGATTCGATCAAGAAACCGAATTTGCGTCGATCGGGATGAACAGTATTCAATTCTCGTCTTTATCGAGCAAATTATCGACCGACGTTGGTGTAAACCTCGCACCGGTCACCTTCTTTGCTTTCCCAACAGTAACAGCCCTGGTGGACCATCTGGCAGAAATCGTAGATGTTGGGACTCTTGATAAGCCTGTTGCTTGCCACAATGTATCCTCTAGCCCAGTGACACCGCCGCCTAGATACACCTCAAACACATCACCCTCTCCAACAGTAGATTCAAGGAGCACAGGAGGCTCGTACATTCGTCACCGCAACCTGACACTAGAAACGTCTTGCCATACAGCCTGCTTGGTTGACGTCTTTGTCCCTGCTACGTGGACCAGAACTGGCTTGCTCGTCGATGTCATCAGTCGCGGATGGAACTCAAACGTTGCAGAAGTTGATCGCAAGTTAGCCCTGTACGATCATCTTTGTCACAAGGGATACGTGGTTGTTGCGGTCCGTGTTGGTTCCGGCCCAGATGTCAACTTGGCTACGATGGTGGCGGGCATCAGGGCTGCAATTCAATGGACTACTACCACTTCTGCTCGGGTGGAGTTGATGGGTATCCGTAGTGACAACATTGAAACCGTGCTTATGGGCGAGCACACAGGAGGTTTTGTTGCCGCTTCTTCCATTGGCCGCTTAAGCGCCACAGAAATGGTCGATCGTGTACTTCTCGTCCAGGTATGGCAAGTTTCTGCAATTTTAAAGCTCCTGTAGTCCGCCTAACTTTTTTTGATGCCTCCAATTAGCCTACGGTTGACTTCCAAGTCCCTCCACAAAGTAGATCGGGCGTTGCATTCCCATATGAAACTTTATCGGCTGCCAGCCTTTTGGCTCTGGAAGTGCCCGAATTGGCCAATAAACCGGAAATCGCTCTCGTGGGTCATTCTGGAAGCTGGTCGCTGCCTATGAGAGACTTGTCTGAATATTCACGGAAATTTGCTCGTCGTAATGTCATTGCCTTCTTTGGCGCTGTCGACAGCCAGATGTGTAGCTCGGAGAGTGCATTGGAATGGTTGACCGGTGTGTAACTGTACTGGAATAGACAATAAAGTTTTTTTGTACCTTGTGTACTTCGAATTAGCTTTATATTCATCTTTCCTATTCTCACTAGAAAAAGACCGAACGGTCACTACAAAAAGGCTGGCGAAGAAACAATCCACCCCAACTGCACACTCAACGGCCACTGTCCAAAGATTACCTGCAAGCGATAAATCACTCCTCACAGTAGACCACGCGGTCGCTACCAAAACACAACTTGTCCCTCCAAGAACACCTCCTCCGAAGAATTCACTAAAACGGAGAGTTCCAGAATCAATTCAGGCATGCGATGGATGGTTCCTTATAACACCCAGTCAAGTATTGCCACCTAGTGTTCGCCTTCTAGTCCTTCACGATGCTGGGGGTAGTGCCGATCTCTATTCAAACTGGCCATCCCAGGTACCGCAGAGCTTGGAACTCGTTCGAATCGAGCTCCCAGGACATGGGCAACACCGTGGCGAACACTTCACCGACGGAAATGCACTTATCGGGGCATTGCTCAATGTCTTGGAACCAATGCTGGCCGATGGCATGCCATATGCCATTTTTGGACATTCTATGGGCGCAGCGCTCACCTTTGAGCTCACCAAAGCGATTTATGAGCGGAAATGGGCTAGCCCCTTGATGATCTTCCTTTCTAGTTACCCGGCATTCAACGGTACCGATTATAAAATGGCGATAGAGCACAAAGCCGATAGATCGGTTCTGTTTTCTTTGGCGGCTACTAGAACAGATGTATGTCTCCCTATCCCTGTATGTGCAATGGGAGGTGAGGAGGAAGCGATGAAGGGACTTTTGCCCTGTCTCTCAGCGTGGCGAAAACGAACGACTGCGGCCGGCTACCGAGGATTTTCTGTGAAACTATTCCCTGGAAACCACTTTTACGTCGCCGGTGCGGCTAGAGACGCTGTGGCTGAATATGTTTTCAAGCGGGTTTTCGATGCATTGGAAATGCGTGACCGATCAGCGGTTCCTCCCGAACGATATTTCCGAATGAATGACCAGCCTGCGGAGATGCAGAATGACATAAACCCGTCCGTGCAAGCTTTGGCTCAGTCCTGGCGACGAAACCCGGCATCTATTACGTCCACTCAGGCTTTCTATTCGTTAGCGTGCATTGCCCGGCTTCTTGACGATGAAACCGGCAGACCCATCTTTGCAAACGGTTTGGAAGTTGTTTTGGGGATGCTAAACGAGGATGGATACGGCTTCATCCAACCACAGCCGCTTGCGGTGGCTAACTGTGCAGCAGCCCTGGCTGTTGCAAACACATTGATGCTTCTCAACAGAGATGAGGAGCATAACGCAGGCTTCGATCATATGGACCGTCTGGTAAACTATGTGTTTGACGAATTGGCCAAAGTGAGGAGCGCAAAGAGATTGAAAAAGAGCGATTTACCTTGTAAGTTCTCAGTAGATGATGCTGACGGTGCGTTTGACACCATGCTAATGAAAACTTGACACAGACGGAAAATACTTCGAGTTTTCCGACTTCTTGGCGATAAACCATACCTTTTATCACGAAGGTGCCTTATTTCTCAAACTGGCTTCCGATTCTTTGTGCCCCCAGGACAAGCGTCGTGAACTGGAAGTTTCCCTCAAGTCGGTAGCGTACGTTAGGATGGCATACGGGAAAGGAGTTGACTTGAAATCCTTATTTGACACGAATCACACTTTATTGTGGTTTGCGCATTGTGAGTTGTCATTGCAGGTGCTACGTTATGTTGTCAGCGCTACAAGAGCTGACTCTTTTTTTGTTGGGTAGACTTCAAAGACGGTACCTTGTCTAGTTCCGCTGCTCGGTCTCATGCGGCTGCCCGTAAAGTTGTCGGCTGGAACGTTGCTTCCACAGTGAAATTCTATGAAGAGACCAAAGACTCAAATGCTCTGCAAACGCTTCGCACGATGATGAAAAGGCCACGTATGTACTCTTCTGGGGTTAATGTAATAGTCGTTTTTGCGTCTGTTCTAACTCCCACAATTAGATGACGGCCTGCATCCGGATATGTACCTTATGGAAACCCTGTTCATTTTCTATTATCTCCGCCGCGGCGGTGTCGACCTCCTCGCAGCAGGGTTTGAAGATGAACTGCGCTACCTTGCGTCCTGTCTGGAACCAGACGGCGTTGGTATCTTTGAAGATCTGGGTCTCAAAGACGTGGATGTGTCCGCATTGGCCATATACCTGTTGCAGAATACTCACATTCCTTCCCGTATGCGGGTTACCGGTTTGGAAGCATTTTGGAACGAGCGATATGGATTTTACGAAAATTTCGAAAGATCGGACTTTTTCGTGACGGCGAATCATATGCACATCCTCGAAGCGTACTGCACGGCGCCGGATGATCATGTTTCGTTCGAAGGCAAACTGAAAATTTGGCAACGCATCACGGGCCTTCTTAAAACAAGGTCATGGGGAGAACATAACCACCTGTCATCCCTATACATTTGGGAAAGGGTTGTCTCGTGCATTTACACATATCAGCACCTGTTCCCCGATGACCCTGTAGACGTACACAAAGTTGCCTTGGAACTCATCCTTCAGTTGCAAGACGAGCAATCAGGGGGAGTTGGCTCGGCGGCCTTAAACGGACGGCCAAATATGGAGGAAACCGGAATGGCTCTTTTGGCCATTCGAAGTGCCCTAAGAAGCAAAGGAGGTTTAGAGGAAAGCCTGCGGATCAAATGTGAACGAGCGCTCAGGAAAGGGAAGAAATATCTCCAAAAAGAGTGGGACAAATGCAGCAAGGAGGAAATTCCCATGTTTGAGGCGCTGTGGCCTGGTATGTGCCATGAAATGAGAGTGAAGCCGTTGTGCCGATGTTAACAATTCCAATCTATTGTAGGATACCTGGCATTCTGTCCGACAAATATCGTTAAATCGATCATTGTTTCAAGTCTGCTGGAGTGATAGACTAGATTATTCACGGGATAGTTTTGGACGGGTTAGAATAGGTGGGATTCTGCATCGAGGTGGAGGAACTGTTTGCACATATAATAGGCATTGAAAAATTCAATATGGTTGCTCTGCTTCATAGTTTAACCTTCGAACTACTATTTGTTGATAGTAATGATGCTGACGGTCGTGATTGCTTCATTCATCACTCAAAGTCGACGAGCTGCCTTTGTCATTGCGCGAAACACCAACAGAGCTCTAGGCAAGCAACGATTTGAAAACAATATTCTTTTCAAAAGATGGAGTAGCTTATGTAAATTCCCATGTTGCTCTCTTCCCAGGCACCTGAAATTGCACAATATCTTTGACTTGGCTGGTTCTCGCGATGGCCGAATTAACTCGATTCACCAGACCTTCCAAAAAGGTCCGTTTTGAATATTGATCTTGCTGAAATTTGCACCGTCCGTACGATCTGTCGTCCAATGTTTCCCGTAAATCTAATTGAGTGGCATCTGTAAATACCCAACGCATTTACAGTTATGCATGGAACCGTGTATACTGACCTCCTTGGCAGAGAGAATCGGAATGTACCTTTGATAAGTTCTCTGACCCTCAAGGCAATGCTCGGGTTCGACTAGATACTTATCACCATTAAGATAATTCCTGCGGGATATCAGGGATGGTACTCTCTGAATGGTTTTGCACATACAATGTATTCAAGCTTTTCAGTCAACATCTCGTTCAAAAATGGAAACGAGAGGGATATCCAAACGGGGTATCATAATTTGAGAACCGCCCTCTCATGCGCAAACATATTGGCCTTACGATAAGACAAATAATACATTTCAACTCCTTTTCCAGCACAGAACGTCGCAAACTTCAAGACTATCCGTCAAATATGGCACGCTTTACAGTGATGTGCATCCCAGAGAAGAGCCAAAGCTACCTATCCTACAAACAAAGCAAACCCTTCAAAGCCAGCATGCCCTACTTTAAGAAAATGGGACCTTCAAAGACGCACGTCGAGTTTAAAGAAACCTCTTTGACAATATCTCAAAGAAAATTTCCTCACCTCTCCCATACCGGGCATTTTCAATGAGCGTAAACTTAGGAAACAGTTTCAGGAGCGGTTGCGTCATTGCTGTGCTGCGAAGTATTGTACAATTAGATCGAGCGTTGCTCTGAAGCATCACAGATGCCTCGCACGGACGCAACCGTGGTTGACAGTCAAACCATATCGGACTTGGGAGGCATCGCCTTAAAGTATTCTCGTCATTAACTATGTATGGGATATGTGGTGCCATCAGTTTGATGACAACGGCGCATGGGATTTTGTGGAAGGTGGGCTTGTGGGCTTTTGAGCAGGTCAATCAGATACAATTCTTGTGCCAAGAAGGCATGGCAAACCCGCCATGCATAGTTGGGGCTGAGGGCTGTGAAAACCAAATCCTCAAGTGTTTCTGGGTTTGGCACGAGCTCGGAACAAGCATAAAAGATGCGCTAAGCAAGACTATCCCCCGTTCACCAATGCAGAGGAACATTACCGTTTGGGGAGGACCGTGGGAAAATCAAGATAAACAAATGACTCGCTTCACGCGTTTACATAATCTGAACTTACGCGACGTGTGCAAGGGGAACGAACGCACGCCAGGAGGTCTGCCAGGAGGTGGAAAACGACGACGATGATTGGGTGTTCATGGCGTGCTCAGAAGAATGACGTACGCAGGATACGGAATCTTCCGCCGAGAATTCCCGAAATGCAAAAAAAAGCGCAGTTCCCCAGGGTTATAAAAAGGCGACCCTCTCTCGCATCCCCCCGCATTTCTCTTCATCTTTCCTTCCGCCTCGGGATGGCATAAAACTCGCTCCAGCCATGGGTACTGGCGTAAAACTCAACTCGGTCCAAAAGTATACCGGATAACTTTAAAGGCCGTTGTAGTAATGCAACGTGATAACCTCTTTGAGGTGGGCGCCTGGGACTGATCGTGTGCGCGCGCCAGAAATGGTAGGAGCAACGACTCGCCGGAGCCTTCGGGCGATGATGGCATCCTCTTCGGGGGAAGGGCCTGTGATAAAGGGTGAAATAGGATGAAATATGATATCTTGACAAAGTAGAGAAACCGGCGCGGTATTTCCCGTGCATACTTTGGATCCACAGCCGCCTTGATAACCGCCTTGCTGCTCACAAATGGTCTCCGCTTCTCAGACCTACGAAAATCCACGAGATGCAGACAACTTCTGAGCTAGACTCTTACTCTTACTCGGCACTTCCTGGCTCCTGGCTCCCGCGCTACAGGATTCCAAGATAACCCCCACGAACACCGCTCTGGTTTCGGTGCGCCGACTGCAGCAGAACTCTAACCGCCCACAGGACAACTTGCAAACTGCAAACACTTCTTCATCTCCGCCGCTGCCTTCCCAGCTGTTGCCCCGGCTCCTACCTCACATGTTCCGTTACCTTCATCCTCATCGGTATCGGTTGAAACGACGATTTTCGCCCGTCCCATCAAGACCATCATTGAGCGAATAATCCATCAACGCCAGCCGTCGCTGCAAGCCTGCATGCTGTGTAACTATCCTAACCTTGCCGTGGTTAATACAAGACCGCAGGCTGTCCCCAGTGCGGAATAAGTTCGGCACTGGTGAGAAATCCCCACGCTCAACTATCAGCATTATACGGATGGTAAGTGTACGCCAGACCAGACCCTTTCTCAATCGTCAACCCTGACCTGCCCTTTGATATCTCAATTTGCATCATCACCATGTCCAAGTGCGTGCGGAGCCAACTTGTTATCGCCCGGTCACAGGAGATGGGGAAAACGAAGCCAAAATACGAGCAAATCCGCACTGCCAAAGTGGAAGCGCTAATAGGGGGAGGTAGGATTAGTTGCAGCACATATCGAGGAGAAGCCACGGCTTCCAAGCGGCGGTCAACACATGTTCACAGCTGATCCATTCTGGATCTGTGTTGATTAGCCCAAAGCGACACCCGGTTTACGTGCAACAGAAGGGCCCTTGGCCTTCCACCGCCAAAGGACAACCAGACATATCAATGACATTTGGAACAGTTTTACAGCAATTCTCTGTGCAAGAGAAGCCTATTTTCTTGCTCGACTCCATCGACAATGGTGCTGGGCCGGTATTTTGCCACAGCCATTGGCCATGGAGTCGAGCAAAGAAATAGGCTTCTCCTTCGTAGAGCATTGCCGTAAAGCTGGTCCAGAAATCACACTTTTCTGGCGTCTGATGAGATGATATTGCAGTTCCGACTGAGATATATGGGCGGAGCTACTGGCTGGAGAGCTAGCAAACGAGAATCCGGTTATTTCGCTACGAGACGTGACGTATGAGCGAAGAGCGGGGAACAAGCATCCGTCGTGGCATGATGCGATGTGCACGTCGACCCAGCCTCTGACAATGGGGCAGCGGGAGCGGGAGGTGCTGCCGAGGTTTCTTACCTAATGTTTCGGCATCTGATCAATCTATTTTATTCGGTGATGCAAATGATCTCCGCAATCCATCTCCCTACCCTCCATGATAGAATGATCAGATTGCACAGCTCCAAGAAAGATCGGCAGCACCACCAGTTCCCGCGGCCGCATTGTCTAAAGCTTGGTTGAATGTCACCTCGCAAGGCCCTTCTGCTGGGGAAGGCATCGCGATGGACACTGTGGATCAAACGTCTTAAACGGAAACAATTGATGCAGATTATCATCTGGTTGAAGATCAGCATACCATGGAACTGAAGGTAAGTAAGTCGCTTCAACCGACGTGGTTCGAAGGGATTTATTTATTTATGCACGGCATTGTTTTCCTGCAATGATGAGCAAAATGTGAACGTGTCGAGCAAAAAGCCGTTCACATAGGCCACCCTGGAGGTGCACAAGCTGACGGGTCGAGGTCCTCTTGACCTATTTGCCAAGCTCGTAGGCTCATGTGAATCCATGGTCTGGGGGGAGAGAGTGTTTGGCATGTCCACCCGCACCCCGTCCGTTCCGGGTTAGAGCGATTGGTAAGGGCCATCTTCGTCCATTTTACCTAACTTTTACCTCAACCCGATTCTTTGGACTATTAGTTGAGCTGCAACTATCATCAGTTGAGAGCAGAACGAGTTTCTGCAACCCACTACTCCCTCGCAGCACCCACCACACAGAGCACACGCCCTACTTACACCGCTAGAGTCGCTTCCGCTCTCTCGACAAGTCCATCATGTCTGGTATCGATCCAACTCGCCTCGAAGCATTCGGATTTACTTGGAGGTGCGATTCATTGGTAACAGCCATATCGACGCCAACGACGCTGCCGTTTACTATGAACGTCTGCTATGAGCGAAATGACATGGTAAGAAGCATACCTTCCTTTTTAACTGCTTTCAGCTGATATATCCTTGTAAGTTTCACATCGTGGCCATGGGTCTTTTGCTGCATCGACTCGTCTTACTGCCTCACAACTCCTGGTGCAACTTGAGGGGCCAATACACCCTACGAATGTCAGACTGGCCTCTGCCACGGCACAGGGCAAGTCCTCGTCTCCCGCAGCAGACACACATGGCAAAAAGTCATCCCGATGTTGGGATGCACGACCTTGGTCATGTAATTGGGCATCCCGACATCGGTCAAGTAATTTGAAATCATCTGCGGTCATCACAGTGGAAGCCCCTTAAGACGAGCATTCGTACAATCCGTACTACTTCAAGTAGGACGCCAAGCACATCGAGGTCGATTATGAGACGTTCTGCGCGTCTGTTCACTGCGCCGTCCATGCGGAGGAACTAAGAAGAGATTAAGCAACAAGAAAGGGAACAAAAAATCAAGAAGGACTCACATGGACCGTCTGTACGGCCGTATGAAGCTTCTTCTGGCTCTTATCGCTCCTTAACTCCAATCGGTACTCGACAAACTTCTTCCGCACAGCCTGGTCACAGTTCGAGCACTGTATTTGACGAGGGAATCAAGGCCGAGTCCCACGATCTCTTTGACTCATTCTGTAGTATGCCAGTTTTTTCCGAGTGCCCAGCGTGGGTAAGGAGCTAGTTTGCGAGAAGCACTAGGAAGAGGTTGTGCCAGGCCGCCCCGTGCAGCATCACCGCCCGCTGCAGCACTTAGTACCATGATGCAGCTAGAAC